TTCGGAGGGAAAAGATGAGGCTTTCTACTCCTGTCGAGTCACTGTCGTGGACACTCAGGAGCAGTTCCTCCCTCTCCCAGAGGGTTGGTATAAGTTGACAATAGACTTGATGGCAGTGAGTGTGGTGTGGAGGCCAGACTCTTAAGGGTGAGACGAGGCATTATGGAAAAGTTTGAAGTATGGTGAAAATGACCAAAATGGGTCACAGAGGTGGGAAGTGTGGCAAATGGCACCAGTGGACTTGCTCATGTTGGCTACATCGCTCCAGGACTCCATCCTTCCGATGGCTCACAAATGAGGAAATCCTCCAGTGACTGACTAGCCTGCCTTTTCCCCTCCAGGAAGTTACTCTTGGAGATTCTTAACATCCGAAGACCCAAATCCCCTTGGGAGAGAACTCACCCCCTCCTCATTTCACACCAGAACATAACCAACTTTCAAAGATAAGGAAACAGAATACTTTATTATAGAACTTATAAAATAATTAAATATTACATATATTTTGACTCTTCTTCTATAATCCATAGTTTCATTCAACATTTTCCCTCGGCACTCATGAACACTTGCTCCGAGAAGCAAGCGGCAACACATGAGAACAAGCTACTTATTAATAAATTAATTTTCCCCATACAATAGTGATACTTATATAAGGAAACACGTGACTCGCAGTGTGTCAGCGGGCATGGGGGGTGGGGGGGACGACCCTTTTTTGTCCTCCTTTTCCTGATGATCAAAGTGAGCACCACTTTAAGGCAAGCCAAGATGGAGAGAGGCTTCTAATAGTTTCTCCACCACTGGAGAACGCATGATTTTCATTAGAATGAGAACAAAGGGCTAAATTTAACTGACCACTGTCTGGGGTGGGGGGGTTGCTGAGTTGGCTAATCCTTGTTTGAAATGAGACATTTTTTGGTAAGCAGTAAAATTGGGTTACATTCATCAAAGAAGTTGAGGAATAGACTAGAATTACATAAATATGCCTTTTATAACCACTTGTCCAAAGAAAACAGTCTTATAAGTTACTTTGGTTTTGGCAAACCGGTATGGTGTTTTCCTAATTGAGAACAATTTAAAACTCATTAGTGCCTACCATCAGCTGCCTTCCTAAAGACTGGAAATAGCACCAGAAAGATTCTAAAAGATTCGTATTCGCTGGGGGGTCTTGGCATATTATGATGGATGAATAGTTTCACGTGGAAGAAGACAGATGAACTTTTTTATTGCCTCTGGGATTTTCGCTGTTGTTCATGTTCTTGTTAATTAAATCCTAGAGCAAATCGCAACGCGTCAATTGGTAGGGAAATAGCCAAAGCAGCCTTGACTTTTGCCAGCCGTTCTTGCTATGCTGTAGGGAATGTTATAAATAAAGCTGGGTCTCTTTTCTTTGAAAACACTGCTGTCTGTAATTTGGTAAACATCTCCTCCTAGATGTTTACCAAGGAGCCCTGGTGGCCTATTGCGCTACACATTGAACTGCTAAACACAAGGCCAGCAGTTCAAAACCACCAGGGGCTCCTTGGGAGAAAGAGGAAGCTTTCTACTCCCATAAAGATTTACAGCCTTAGAAACCCCGTGGGGCGGTTCAACTCTGTCCCACAGGGTTGCGATGAATCCTTTGACTGGATGGCATTAAGTTTGGTTTGGGAGCTGTGTTAGCTATCTGCTAACCCAGATAGCACCTATGGGTTTGGCTAGCACCAAGAGTCAAAAGGTTGGTATCAGTTGAAGAGTGCCAACCTTGGCCTCTGTGTGAGAGAGTGTTCAGAGTGTGCATTCCGATGAAATGGACATCTGACATGGTCCATGTTGCCCTGGGAACACTTTTCAAGTTGGTCA